GCTGAGGCTGAAGTCTCTGTCCCACACACTTTGAGTAACAAATGAATAGAAAACAAGGATGAGGAAACTCACACCTGAAAAATAAGGCCTCAGGTTTTCTTTGTTTTATACACTTCAACCACAAAATGACATCTAAGTTTTCTAGTGATTACTAAATAATTCAGTGGCAAGGTGGAGGATTTTTAGGCAGGTGCTGGCCAAGGTCCTGAAAGAGATGTGAGTCATGCAGATGAAGAATGAGGTTGTGACACTTTGGTTTCTCTTTTAGGTAAGGAAGTTGCCAAATCTTTCACAATTGTGCAAAGGTATGCATTTCTCATACTCAATATTCTCTGGAAGTTTTTATGGTAAGGATGAAAAAAATACAAAACCTCAAAAGTCTTACATAGGAAGATGAAAAGAATGACATAAAAGGGAAAAAAAATGGCCAAAGAGGATAGATATATGAGAGCAATCAGGAAATGTGTTGGTGGCAATAAGAAAAAAGTTAGTGAACCAGCACCTCAGAGACAGTTCTTATAGTAGGTTTTCCAATGGTAGATATGTCGAGGTATTTATATATAAAATGCACTTTTAAGAGTTAAAACTTGAAAGAAAAAACTTCTGTATGTGACTTGGCCAAATGTGATTTCAACTCAGAATCCACCTATCATGTTTCTGCTGACTCTGTAAAGTGCTCTGAAAATAGTATTGCATCACTGAGCATATTTCTTTTGTGTGCACATCATCCCAAGTTTTTTTGATGTGTAGTTAGTCAAACTTAGGCATGAAGAGGAAGACAGTATCCTGAAGGATTCTTTTGCTGAGTTATTTTCAGATTGTTTCAGTGTCTGGTCTAATTTGGTGGACATCCCATGAGCTACCTACTGCTTCCTCCTTGCCCTAAAAAGTGAGTCTCTTCAGAATGAGGATGTGGATAGGGGCTGCTTCTTCCTCAGGCAGCCTGCCTTCTAGATCTTATTGTCACTGGAAAATCTAGGTCCTGAAGGGTCTCTGAAATGGCACTATAAGAAAGAGTGCTCTTACCTCTACAAACTTACCTCTACTTCCTAAATCATAGCTAAACCACAGCTTACTTCCTTCATTCTAAAGCGACTATAAGCAAGTATAAGCAAGTATAGCAAATTCAATGCACCACTATTTACTGATTTTTCTAGCTATCTTCTGAACTGTTATTTTTACATGACTTTTATTTACCTATAAAAGAAGTGGAAAAATGCAAAACAATGTAACAAAGAAAACAATAGATCCATAATGCCACAACCTATAAATATCCAAAATCAGTGTTTTTCTTTTATTTCTTTTGCTTTCTTTGTAAGTATGTAAATATACTTTCTGTGATGAAGTTGTAGAGCCTGCCACTTTTACTCAGCAGTGCCCTATGACCCATTCTCTCATCTTTAACCCATCCTACCTGAGGTCCAGTCCCCAGGTGTGGTGAAGGTACATCCCGCTGTGCACTCAGTTTGGCCATAACCTTCATAAACCTTCAAGCAAAACATGGAAACCACACTGTAGGCACACACGCTCCTGCAGCTGACTGGCTGCCCTTTGCAGCCAGCCACCTCCCACTGAGTATCTGGCTGCACCATGCTGGGGAGGGTGAAAGGGCCTCTGGAGGTAGGTAACTTCATGTGAAGCTGAACACAGACAACTACTTGGCTTGGCAGAAGTGCTATTACCACAGACACTTAGTACAGAAGGTTATGTGGTTTTGGGGTAAAGATTTCTAACCTATTTTTAAACACTGATGCTACTTTTCACTTGGAAAGTATGCATTAAAGGCAAATATTTTTAAGATCCACTGTTTTATTTTGTGTCTGTGAGAGATTCCCCTCCAGAGCCCCATGTGATTGCAGGAATAAACTATGTGGTAGAGTCTGTCTTTGGGAGTGTTCAGGCCATGTTGGTGTAGAACAAGAAGACAGTGTAAGAAGCCTATGGCACCCAAAGTATAAAAATGCAAGCATTTTTGAAATACATGTGACTAGTTTACTTAAAAAAACTCATCAGTCACAACCACGTTATTATATCCTGTGTATGTAGGAACTTAATATGTATTAATTTTGAGTGGATAAATGAAGGAATCATTTCCTTCATTTTTAAGAGATGATAGAACCCATAGAATCAGAAAACAAACATAAATGGATCTTCATCCCCCCTCCCTGTACCCCTTTTCTGTGTTGGGAGATATTTCGCAGGCTGAGAAATGCAGTCACAATATAGGTGTGACAGATTCTCTAGCACATTGATGATCCCTATATAGTTTATTGGCTCCCTTGTCCCATGGACACACCTGGGCTTTCACTGCTGTGGACCTTTTTTTATCCTCAGAGAAGCGAGCTTTTATCCCACTAAAATCTTGCTCCCTTAATCTTTTTCTGCACAGTAAAGGGTGTCCTGCCCTAATGCACAATTTATTGCCCCCAGCGAAAGCCATCTAATGGCAATACCTGGCACCCCAGTGCTGCCCTCAGGAATCCAAGTACTGTTGGCGATGCAGGGGCTGCTCCAGTAACAATCATCCTCACACACCACCAAGACTGGCCTGGAAAAAAGAAGAAACGGTCAGAGGCTGTGCCCCGGAGGTAGCGTCTACCCCATTTGGTGTCTACCCCATTTGGGGTAGACACATTCAACATTTGCACCCTACCAGGCTCTAGGGTAGAGACCAGAAAGGAGGCCTGAAGCCGAACAACACATGAGTTGAGAAGACCCTTCTCCTTTCAAAAGAATAAATCAGTTTTGTAACTCAACCCAAATATGACCAACTCTTTTATACCTTTTAAGATAAGTGCCATTAATTGGTGTGGCATTCTATAATCTTGAGTCTCTCTTCCTTAAAATACTCAACTGTTCCCTCACTCTCCCATCATTTGCTAGCATCCAAAACAATTACTTAGGACAATTTCTTCCCACTTCCATTTTAATGGCATGGCCCTTTTTCCTTTAATAAATCAATACCATGCTCTATTTACTATGCACTGCATAGGACAAAGAATTCTTTAAAGACTTTGTTTCTGTAAGCTTAGCCAAGACAGTTTAAATATTAATGTCAGAGCTGAAAATAGAGTAGTAAGAAAAACGAGTAATGCTACTAATTAACTACAAATTGCTTGGGTAAGGCACAGGTGAAAACTTTAGTGGGATAAAGAAGTAATTCATGATGGGGCTGGTTTGGAAGAAAGGAAACAGGAAAAGAAAGATTCTTGGGGGTCTCTTTGGTGGCACAGGGGTTAAGTCTCATGTTATCAAGCGATTGCTAGCCACTGCAGCATGAGTTCCAGCCAGGGAGCTAACCCTTATGATGCAGCAGACCTCTCCTGTCTCACGTGATGCTTTCCTCAGCAGTGTATTTCAGTAGATCTGCCTGTTCTGCTCCCACTCTCTCTCTGGTGAATCCTCTTACTCCCTGCCCCGCACCTCTGGTCTGTACCCTGGTTCTTATTTTTTTTTGAAAGACACTTTTTTTTAAAGATTTATTTATTTATACAAGAACCGGGGTACAGGCCAGATGCGTGGGAGGGTGAGAGGATTCACCAGAGACAGAGCGGGGAACAGAACAGGCAGAATGACGAAACACACTGCTGAGGGAAGCAGCAGGCGAGACAGGAGAGGTCTGCTTCACCATGTGGGATTCTCGCTGGCCGGCAGGGATCGAACCTGCACTGCAAAGGCTGCAGACAGCTTCACAGTGTGGCTCTTCACCGCCTGTGCCACCGCGGAGGCCCTGTACCCCAGTTCTTGTATGCATAAATAAATAAAAATAAATCTTTAAAAAAAGAAAGGGCCTCCCCGGTGGCGCAGTGGGTTGAGCACAGCACTGTGAAGCTGTCCACAGCCTCTGTAGTGCCAGTTCAATTCCCGGCTGGCCAGGGAGATTCCCACATGGCACAGTAGACCCCTCCTGTCTCACCTTCTGCTCCTCTCAGCAGTGTACTTCGGTTCTTCTGTCTGTTCTGCTCCCTGCTCTGTCTCTGGTGAATTCTCTCACCCTCCCGCACCTCTGACCTTTACCCAGTGATTGTATAAATACATCTTAATAAATAAATAAATAAATAGATAAATAAATAAATAAATAAGAAAGACTCTTGGCCATCTGGCTAGAGCCTAGCGCTGATGGAAAGCAGCCATGGCTAAGGCTACAAAGCAGAGCAAGGGAACCTCCAGCCCCAGGGGTCACTGGTGGATCTGTGCACCCATGGCAAAGCTGACATAGCACCTTGGAAGGTGGGGGACCTGCTTTCCAGGAGTACTTCTTGCTGGTTGCTTTTTGGCAACGATAACACATCTCCAAAGAACCAAAAATGAGTCCTTTAGAATTTCAATGGTGGTTTTAACTTTGATTTCATGAGCAAATGAGACATTTTATAAGACTACAGGCCACTGGAATGAAATCTAATTCTTCTGTAAGGTGATCCACCAGACATTTGTTTGTGGCTCTATAATCATTCATTCATTTTTCTTACCTGAATCTTATTAAGAAGAGTTCATCCCAGATGCTATCATTCCTGACAATTCCACTCCGAACCTCAGCTTGTTTACGCCTCGCTGCAAATTCCAGGAGCCAGCGCTTTAATGGCGTGTCTGCCTGGCTGAAGATCTGAGAACATAAGTTGGAAACAGTTGTTGGGTCTGCATATTCCATGATGTAACCCCTGCACCCAGGAAAAGGCCCCGACTGGCCAGCAGAGAAGGGAAACCCTGATCCCTTTACCCCTGCCAGAGGTGAATGTGTATCTCCACAGGATTACACTAACAAGGGTCAGATACATTGTAGGGCTAGAAATTACAAAAAAAAAAAAAAAAAAAAACTTGCCAACCAGGGTCTTCAAGGATAGGAAGAAAAATAGGAAGAAAAATAGGAGAGCCAAGAATTCAAGAGAGGAGATAACATCCAGGACCTGGGACTGAAGGCAGAGAAAGACTGCCTGGGCTCCAGAGTCCTCCATACAAGCAGACAGGCAGCCACTCAGCCCTGCTAGACACCCCCCATAGGGCTGACCTTATCGTACATCCTGTTCAGCAGTCGAGGGACCACAGGGAAAATGGTGGGGCACAGAGCCTTCATGTCATCTGAGAGGAGGCGAATATCTCCCTGGAAGAAGCCAACACGGCCTCCATGGCAGTAGACGACAGACTGGAGGGAGGGGACAGGAAAGAAGAGTCCCTCAGAGAGGCACCCTTGGCTGCGGTCCAGAGCTATCCAAATTGCTACCCATGACCCTCTAACCCAGCTTTGGCTGCTGCCATGAACCACTGAAGTAATCCCCCTTTCCCCTCCCACCCCACCACCTTTGCACTAAGTCTCACTCAGGTATGAGGAGAAGAAATAAGGGATGGAGTGGAATCCTGAGCCTGTGGGAGAAACCCTAGCAGCCAGTCAGGTCTCACTGGAGCCTGCCCCTCACGCTCACTCCTATGGGGCCTCCCTGCAGACTTGGGCCTCTGAGCTGTACCAGCCCATATCACTGGGTCTGCTTCCCATCTTAGAGGGTAGAAATTTCCCCTAAAGATTTCTCAGCAGCTCTGTAAGAGTGCACAGCGCCCATGAGTACTAGAGATGCTGCAAATGTTGGCTGTGGATGTTGTTTGGTGGGAGGCCTGGGGAGCTAGTTTCCCATGAGACTAGGGGTACATCAGGGGCTTTTTATATGCTCCTTTATTTATTGCTTACGACAACCTTGCAAGGGAGACAGTGTTCCTTGTCTCCATTATACAAGTGAGGAAAACAAAGCCCAGAGATGTAAAGGGACTTGCCCAGAGTCACCAAACTATTTCACAGTACGGCTGGCATTATAATCCAGGTTTAGAAGGCATGTCCTGTTATACCAGCTCTACACCCAATCCTCATCCCAAGGGAAAATGAGAGAGGCTTAGAAGACACAGTTTGTCTACATGCTGGTCCCTTGAGTGACAAATGTGGAGAATTCTTTGTTCCCCTCCACCACCTCATATAGATTCCACCTCCCCATTCTCTCTCTACCCCTCAAGGCCTGTCTTAGGACCAGTCACTCCTCCAGTCCCATCTACAGCCTGAGATGTAATTCAGGAAGAATTACATGTGATTCCCTAACTTTACTGCCTTGTTATCTTTTTCTTAGGTATTTACAAGCTATGGTATAGATGTGCCTTGGCTATAAATGAGCCACACTTGCAGAGGGTCAATGGTGGAACCCTTCTGCAAAGCTGCAATGCTCTCTGAGGAGATGCCATCAGCTGGGGTCTTCCCTGGAGCAGTGCTCCCAGGACAGATGGGTGGGATGGTCGAGATCCTCTGGCCCCTCTGACCCTTAGGTACCTTCCAAGGACAGGCAACTTAGTTCTACTTCAAGCCAAGAGTGACAAGTGACATTTCACTAGGGTTCTGGGTACAGATTGTGCCTCCCTGAAGCCAGGGCCTTACCTGCACCATTCGCTCAAACATGTGTGCTAAAGGCAAATAGGAAATGTGCACATCCGCACAAGTGGGAGCCCACTGACTCTGTAAGAAAACAGAAGGAGCCCAGGCAAGGCCCGGTCAGTCAGGTGGGCGTCTTACCTGGATTACTCTCTCAAACATGTGAGCCAGAGGCAGGAAGGAGATGAGCACATCGTCCTGTCTCGGAAAGATCACTTTCTGCAGGTGACGGGCATGGGAGACAGAAAGGAAAGAAACACTGACAGGAGACGACAAGAGAGTCATAAAACAATAAAGAGAAAATGGTCCTAGAGGGGCAAACAGGAAAGGGGGGAGGGAAGTTGGGAGGGGAGGGACAGAGAGAGAGAGAGAGAGAGAGTTAAGATGAGAGAGAAAAAAATGTGAGAGAGAAGGAAGAAGATGAAAGGTGCAGAAAGAAAAGAGAGACAGAGAGACAGGGCAGCATAGGAAGCGGAGTGTTAGGTCGCAGCGCCAGTGGGTCTAGGTTATCTGCAGAAGCAAAGAGCCAAATGAAGCACACATAAACCAGCAGAGCTGAGCTCCGCAGGGAAGTCTCCTCTTGGACTGACCTCACTTGTAGTCAGCTGGCGCCAGCCTGGCTCTCTCTACCCGCCTCCCCACAGCTGCAGGAGCTGCCCTAGGGCCCATTTCCTGGACTTCCCTGGCCACTGGGCAGGGATTCAGAGGGTCTCCTATCTCCTATTGTCAGCACTTTCTACTCCTTCCATAGAAAGGAGCCCAGAAAACCCTAAGTCTCCATCAAGTATGGTTGGGGTATGAGCCGAAGCAGGCTCACAAGTCATGCCTGGGAAAGCGGAGGGAGACCTGTCGGCCCACATCTCACAGATGGGACTGACCTCAGGGACAAGGAACAGGCCATGTTGGACTCCCCAGCTCACTGCCCTTTCAAAGAGGCCATCTTTCTCCTGGGCTGACTTGTGAATGAGTTTCGACAAGCTCTGAGAACATGGGTCTAGGGTCCTGACTTTTCTAC